CAATTTATGGTGCAAAATGGATAGATAGTCGTTGGCAAGATGTTAGAGTTGGTGATATTATACAATTGAGAAATAATGACTCTGTTCCTGCTGATATAATAATAATTTCTACAAGTGAACCTGACGGACTTTGCTATGTAGAAACAAAAAACCTCGACGGTGAAACAAATCTCAAAATCCGTCATTGTAACAATTCCACTTCATCTTTGGCAACAGAAAATGATTGTGAGCATACATTTTTCTATGTTGAATCAGAACCACCACATCCCAATCTATATTCATATAATGGCACATTACATTGGGTTGGAAATAATAATTCAAATGGAATCAACAACAATGATGGCGATGATATGAACTATTCCAATGAAAAAAATGTGCCAATAACCATCAATGATGTTCTTTTGAGAGGTTGTACTCTACGTAATACTGAATGGGTTATAGGATTGGTAATATTTACTGGTACTGACACTAAAATCATGTTGAATTCTGGTGATACTCCAAGTAAAAGGAGTCGTATAGAAATAGAAACAAATTTTCATGTGTGTTTTTTTTTTTTAAAGTTATCTTTAAGGAAAATTAAAATTTATCATCAAATAAATTGATTTATTATTTTTTTTTTATAGGTTACTATGAATTTTATTATATTGTTCTTGCTTTGCTTAGGTTCAGGTATAGCTCGAGTGATATATTTTATTCAACCTCGAAGTTCTGCAGATATTTTTGGATATGAAGGAAACGTTGAAGGTGGTGCATTATTTAGTGGGTTTTTAATATTTTGGTATGAAAGGGATATAATTTTGAGTGAGAACAATCAAGTATATTTAATTTTTTTATGCAATCCAATCAATCAATCATTTATTTTAAATTTTTTTTTTTAGGACAAGTTTAGTTTTATTTCAAAATATTGTACCAATTTCATTATATGTTACAATCGAAGTGGTGAAAACTGTGCAGGTAAATTAATATAACATATTATAATAACGATGATACAAATATTTATTATATTTGCAAAATAATTTATTTAATCATACAAACGCATATGCATATCTTTTTATTTGTAAGGCATATTTTATTCATTCAGATATTGAAATGTATTATGAAAAACTTGATTATCCATGTGTTCCAAAAACTTGGAATATTGCTGATGATTTAGGCCAAATTGAATATATTTTTTCTGATAAAACTGGCACCTTGACACAAAATGTTATGGAGTTTCGTAAATGTACAATCAATGGTGTTACATATGGATTAGGTGAAACAGATGCTATGCGTGGTGCAAAATTACAAGAACGGCTTAATAATGGTGGGAAGATGAGAGGTGACGGTGATGACAATGATGATGAAGTTGATTTGGAGGCAGAGAAAAAATTAATGTTAAAAGAAATGTCAAATTTATTTGAAAATAAATACACCTCCCAAAAACTTACATTCATTGATTCAAAATTATACCAGGATTTAAAAGTTATGGAGCAACAATCAAAAGCTATCCAAAATTTCTTTTCCGCATTAGCACTTTGTCACACTGTACTAGTTGAACATCCCAATGAAAATGATCTTTATGAAATTGATTATAAAGCTCAATCACCAGATGAGGCTGCTTTAGTTGGCTGTGCAAGAGATGTTGGATTTGTATTTCTTGGACGGTGCCAGGATACTTTAGCAGTTGAAGTGATGGGTGAATATAAAGAGTTTATATTGTTAAATGTCTTGGAATTTAATAGCACCAGAAAAAGAATGTCAGTCATTCTACGTTCACCTGATGGAGGAATAGTTTTATTGTGTAAAGGTGCTGATAGTGTAATATATGAACGTTTAGAAAAAGGATCTCAATCAGAATTAAGACAAGAAACTTTAGAAGATCTTGAAGTTTTCGCTAAAGAAGGTATTTATATATAAACATATATCCAATATATTTAATATATAATATATATTAATTATATTAAAAATTACAAAAATTAAAATTTAAAAGGACTTAGAACACTTTGTATAGCATATCGTACTATATCAGAAGAAGAGTATAGTGTATGGTTAACAAAATATGCAGAAGCCGCATCTAGTATTAATGATAGAGAAGAAAAGATAGAAAAGGTGTGTGAAATGATTGAACATTCATTGATATTAATGGGGGGAACTGCAATAGAAGATCGACTTCAGGAGGGCGTGCCAGAAACTATAGCCACATTGGCACAAGCTGGTATTAAGTTGTGGGTATTGACAGGTGATAAAGTGGAGACAGCCATTAATATTGGATTTTCTTGTAGCCTGTTACAAAATGATATGCTTCTAATTATCATAAATGCACCAGACAAAAAAAGTATACTTTCCCAGATAAATGAAGCAATTGAAAATTTTTTCGAAAATCAAGATGAAAAGAAAAGTAAGCATGCACTGATCATAGATGGCGAAACACTCAAGTATGGATTAGATGATAGTGTGAAACCATATTTGTTAGATCTTGGTAAAAGATGTGAGAGTGTTGTTTGTTGTCGTGTGAGCCCATTGCAAAAAGCACAAGTAGTTTCTATGGTGAAAAATGGATTGAATGTGATGACATTATCAATTGGAGATGGTGCTAATGATGTTAGCATGATACAAGAAGCAAACATAGGAGTTGGAATTGCTGGTGAGGAGGGGCGGCAAGCAGCAATGTCTGCAGATTTTGCATTTGCACAATTTAGATATTTGGAAAAGCTTTTGCTTGTTCATGGACGTTGGTCATATATCAGAATAGCAGAAATGATTTCATGTTTTTTTTACAAGAATATTGTATGGACAATTGCAATGTTTTGGTATCAAACCTGGGCTGGGTTTTCTGCACAATATCTTTATAATTACACATATATTTTGCTTTATAATCTTGTTTTTACAGCAATTCCTGTAATGTATCTGGGCGCATTTGATCAAGATGTTGATTCTAAAACCTCTTTAAAAAACCCACAACTTTATAAACGAGGTATTTTACAACAAGATTTTACAAAACTCAAGTTTTGGTTATATGTATTAGATGCAGTATATCAATCACTTGTATGTTTTTTTGTTCCATTCGGGTTGCTTCAATTTGGACAATCTCATGGCAATGGGTTGACAAATAACAGTTTAGAGGATTTAGGAACTCTGGTGGCAGGATCTGTGGTGGTGACAACTAATTTATACGTTGGATTGAATATTTTGAATTGGTCATGGATAGGATTTTTGGTTATTTGTGGTAGTATTATATCATTTTATTTATGGGTAGAGCTTTACTCCATAGTGTACTCAATAGGATTCTTTAGAGTGGACATGATATTATTTTCTGATTTGGATTTTTGGTTGACGATTGCTATTGCAACTACATTTAGTATTATGCCAAGATTTGTTGTCAAGTATCTTCATGAATCATACTGGCCAACTGACACAGATATTATTCGTGAACAAGTGCATCTAGAAAAGAAATGTAGAAAGAAACAAACAATTGTTGAAGAGGAAGAGGATAGATTGCCAATTAATACTGAAACGGGAGGATATGTTGCAAGTTATTCAACTAGTGATATACACGAAAACTTGATAATGGCTGAACAGACTTCAATGACAACAACAGCAATAAAGAAAGAAAATACAAAAACACCACAAAAAATTGGCAAATCAAAAAATAATAGACCAATAGGACCTGCTAAACCAACTGAACAATTTGTACACATGAATTCTGGTAGAAGACAATCATTTACGGGATTCGCATTCTCAGTTGAGGAGAGTAAGTTTGAGAACTTTAGGAAATCGGTTTATAAACCTATACAAAAAATTAGTAATAAATTACATAGACATAAAACCATAAAAGAATACACCGAATCATCATCACCATCATCAAATAATTTATTTAAATAGTAAATCATTACCTAGTCTTTATTTCGTAGATTACCATCACCTAGAAATACCAGCAGATCTCCTTCACCAATAGATTAAATTTTAATAACACCAACAATAATGATCATAGTCATTATAATGAGTAGGAAGTTCAACTCATTATCATAATATTAATCATTTTATATATTTTAGAATGCAAATTTTTTTAAAAAAATATTTATTAAATTTTTGTACAGTATTTTCAGTAATGATGAATTTTTTCTTTTTCTTCTTTACCTTTAGATAGATGATGATGGTGATGTTAATATATAATACTGTAGTAATAATAATAATAATAAATAGTTTTGTAATATATTTTATGTTTAATATTATTAGGAGACATTCAAATCTGACATTTCCGAAATAACAATATTATTATTGTTATTACATATTAATATAACAGAAGTTTAACTAATCATCCATTGACAATTCACTCAACTCATCAATCCTTTCAACACTTTTTCCTTTATATTATTATTAAATAATAAATTAACTTGCTTATAGTTATTTGGATTAACAAACTTCAATTAATTGTTAATGAAAAAAGTAAGAGGTGGGATAAGATGATATTCTAAATATTGAGGATGACAATGGTAATGGTAACGATGGAATTAATTCAATTGAGGTTGTTGGCACTGCTAATTTTTCCAAAAATAAGAGTTTTGTATACTATATATAATCACATTACAAGAATTATATACGCATTATTAGAATCTTCAAACTCATTATATTTAAAAAAATATAATTTTCAATTATGCAAAATTGTTGATAAGTTACTATTGATTGCTATTGACGTTATTATTCTTGAAAAAAAAAAACATTATAAATTTGTAGTAAACAAAATCATTTGTGGAAATTCTCATGTAACAAATATAAATTTATACCAATTTAAGTGTCTGGTAACATCCAGTTAATACTATTAATAATGCTTGCTCTTTCAATTGTGACTCTGCATCAATCAGTTCTCTATTGTCAATTTGATGAGATTCTACAAATATAATATAGAAGTGAGTTAAAAAGCAAGTAAAAAATTTATTCATTTGATGATAACAAATCTGTATCACACTTGCATGTAATTGCAACATGTTCTTAGCTATTTTAATAAATGTAAATGGGAACATTGAACAGAAGGTAACAGGTGCTTGAAATCGATCAATTTCTACACAACCATACCAGCCATTTGTAATGTAATTAACACGTAAAATTCTATAATTGAACTTTGTTGAAATAATACCAGGTCATGGAATTTTATTTAATAGCTGTATAACAACATTATGTTGATTTTTTCTGATGTTTAAGATGTTTCTTAATAATGCCAAGTTTATGTAATGAAGGGACATACTCTATCACCACACATTTTTGGAATTATTTGTTTGATTTCATTGGCTAAATTTTGTGACGATCTCCCTTCCGCAAAAATTAAATATTGGCTTGAAGATCGTTACGCAAATTTTTAAAAAAAAGGTTTGAATTGATAAAAATAAAATGTTTATAATAAATAAAAAAATTAATATAGTATTCCTTTATTAATACATAGGCTTGGTTTTTCATTATACAGTCTAATATATTATTTACTTTTCAACTTTTCATTGACTTCGTCAAATCAACATTTTACCTTTGATCATGAATTATCATTCATTATATAATATTGTACTGTATAATAAATCTTTTTTTTAATAGATTAAAATGTTATGTAAAAAACATAAATTTGGTCAGATGAAGTCGAAGGAAAACTCCCATATAAAAAAAAAGGCCATTTTAGGACTGATAACATATCAATCTAGTGTTACAATTTCACTATAGAAGTGGTACCGGTTTAAACTTCAGTCCCTATTAGTATTAGTAATTAGTATTGTAAATATTAATATGTTAATATTAATATGCAATCCGTTACGTTGAACACGTTTTATTAATATTAATATTAATATTAAATATTAATGTAATAATATACATTACAACAAAAAAATTTGACCTTTTATTGCATGTAAAACTTCGATTGAAAATTTGCTTTTTTGGATGATTTGTTAAATATTTCCATTAATATCATTCAAAATTTTTGTAATATGGTTTTGATATCAAAATATGAGTTTACTTATTAATATTAATATTAATGATATTCTGTGAGATATACTTTATTCAATGCATGAAAACAATTTATTTGGTATCACAAAATACATTGTTTCATTGTACATTAAAGTTTGCCAATTAGTAGTTTTTTCCACCGTTGATCATTATAAAAATTATCTGATTCATGCAATTAAAAAGTAATAAATAGAATTCATAAATTCACTATACCGCTCTTTTTAAGCAGTTTTCAATTATCCATTTCTAGCCTTATTTGGGTACTTCGAATAACAGGCAGGAATAATGGATTTCACAATATCATTGACAAAATTCGATTCAGAATGTCACACGATTAGATAATACAACGCCAAAGATCTTTGTTTATACCGATAAAACCAATTAAAAACTTTTGATCATTTTGTATCTTATCGTTATCAAAAAAAAAATATATTTCAATCACTGCAAATATTTCTTAACGAAATTTTAAAACATGGCCTCTCACGAAATCATCGAAGTTGCAGAATCACCAAATTTGAACCAAGGCATTTCCTTATGGCGGAATCCTTCACTTTATATTCGCTCATCCATCAAAGAGAGAACATTACATATAAAAAAGAATACATCTCTATCGGAATTAAGTGGCAGTCTCGGAGATTTAGGCACTTTACTTCCCATCTTAGTAGCTCTTTCAATCGCCGGACAAATTTCTTTGACCGCATCGCTTATATTCGGAGGTCTATGGAATATCATTAGTGGTTTGATGTTTCGAATCCCCATGTGTGTTCAACCTATGAAAGGCAATCAATCTATTTTCATGATTTTTATCGTTTTTTTTTTAAAAAAAAATATTAATAATGTCTATGTCTATAACAGCTATTGCGGCGGTAGCAATCTCGATACAATTATCAATAGGTGAAGTCATGTCGGCAGGTATTGGCGTTGGGTCTATGATATTTATTCTTGGCATCACTAGAACTATCAAGATCATCGAAAAGTGGACACCCATTCCAATCGTCAGGGGTATTCAGTTGGGTGCAGGCATAATTCTAATCATAAAAGCTGTCGATCTGGTTCGAAAAAACGGTAGTTGGGGTGGTAGTTCTTGGAAATGGGATGATAACTATGAATGGGCCATGCTATCGTTCATATTCGTATTTACATTTTATTCATCTAAAAAAACACCAACGGCATTAATTCTATTTGTTTTTGGGCTAATAATCGCATTTATAAAAGTCTTTCAATCTGGTAGCACATTACCATCGGCCTCATTTAATTATCCCGAAATTATTGTCCCAACCCTAGAAGAATTTAAAACCGGATTTCTTAGTGCATCTCTTGGCCAACTTCCACTGACAGCTCTCAATTCTGTTATCGCATTGTCGGTATTAGCTAATGATTTGTTCCCGGAACGGTCTTCATTGAACACTGTTGAAAAAATTTCAATTTCCGTCGGACTTATGAACATTATTGGATGTTTTTTCGGCTCTATCCCATATTGTCACGGATCAGGTGGACTCGCCGGACAATACCGTTTCGGCGCAAGATCCGAAGTTAGCGTTTTGATCCTTGGATTTTTTAAATTAGTCCTGGGGATATTATTTGGAAAGACTTTAACCAATCTCCTAAATTACTTCCCTAGTTCAGTTCTTGGTGTAATGCTCTTTGTTTCTGGAGCGGAATTGGCATCCGCAGCACGAAATTTTATGAACACTTCTGATGATAAAGATGATGAGGAGACAAAAAAGAAGAATTTTGCCCTAGTGATCGTAACAGCAGGATTATTGGTCGGCTTCCAAAATGATGGAATTGGATATATTGGTGGTATGCTGGTTAGCTTTTTGTTTTTTATTACTCGCTTCTTGATGATGAAACTTAAAAAGTGAATTATAAAACGATATACGAAAATTTAAAATTATTTATGACAAGAAAGGAAGATTTTATTTGTAATATACTGTGCTGTATACCATTTTATGTATAATTTGTAATTAATAGTTAATAATATCAGTAACAACAATAACGTGATCTAATTGAAGTTAACGGCAGTCTAGTTAACAATTATTAATAAAGGCGTGAAAAAAAATTCCAATTTTGGAATAGAACAAACTATTTATTAGTCTTATTTGTTTTTGTCAAACGCGCTAACCTACAGTTTTTCAAAAAAGGAAATCTTCTACAGTCTGTTTTATAAACTATGCAACAATATGCAAATTACAATTTGCTATTTTATTATTTACAGATTGCAATTTTTGAATTTTGCAAATTGCATATTGCAAAGGTTTGTTTCTGAATTTTTGGTAAACTGAATTTTTGGGGAAGAATGAGAGCAAAATTGAAATATATACAAAACATTGTGGTGAACAAATTTTTTTTTTTTGTGTTGACACAATTCGTCAAAATGATCATCATCATCTCTTTTTTGAAAAATGTAAATAATGATAATGATACATTCGTTTATAAATTTTAATCATGTTCATTGATTGTTGTTGGCAATTAAAAAACCATTGATTTTGTTCTTTTCTGCTTATTAATGATTAATAAATAATATGGTGATAATTTTTTTCCCTAGATTGTTGTTAATTATTAATTAATATAATAAAAAAAAATAGTGCGGGTTGTGTGACTGTACAAAAAGCACGTTAATGTATTAACAAAAAATAAATTATTTTTGAAGAAATTTTTTTTTTTAAAAACAGTCGAAGCCTCCTTGGAAATTTCAATTAGCATTATTGTTATGAGAACAATAACTTTACATTTTGCAAATATCAATAAAGAACTTCCAGTCTTCTTTTTTTAGATAAAATGAAATTTCTACTATGCTAAATAATGTGTAGTGGGGAAGAAAAAAAACCAATCAATCTAAGATTTGAGAAAGCCTCTTATCTCTTATTTACACAGAGCCAATCATCTTAAAAAAATCCCGAATCCAAAAAAATTATCTTTGTTACCATCAACAATTGAAATTTGTGAATGGTTTTTGATCAAAGGTAAAAATTTGGCTAATCATGAAAAATAAAAAAAAAGAATTGGCTGATTCATTTTTTTCTAATAACAATAAACAATAAAGATTGATTGTTTATTTAATGATAACAAAAATAAAGGTTGATTGTTCAATGATAATAAAAATAAAGTTCGATTGTTTTTTTTATTAAAAATAAAAAAAATAAAGATTAATTGTTTTGTCACAAGAAATAAATAAATAAGTCTGCCATCTTAACCTTTTGTTTTTTTTTATATTTATTAAAAACAACAGATGTTGATGTTGATAATGAACAAATTCGGTTTGCCTTTTCTGTTCATTCTGCCATTGTTGATGCTGTCCTCTCCAAGCAGAAGATCAATATACAGAATGCTTTTGGTCTAACAGTCCACATGACACAAGGGTTAACCTTGCCAAGTATGTCTGTCTGCCTTGACCAACAGATATTTGCTCCTGGACAGGCTTATGTTGCTCTCAGCCATTGTGCCAAATGAGAAGATCTCAGAATTAACTCTCTTTCAAGGGAGGCATTCATGGTTGATCAATTGATGGTTAGGGAGTATGCTCGGCTGGAAGAAATTGCTGCCAAATCATTGCCTATTAACAACAATTCACAATAATGAAATGAACATTTGTCTTTATCTTTTTTTTTTTATAAATGTTTTACATGTATTATGTGGACATAATAAATAAATAACTTAACATTAATATAATAATTGGGCGATGTTGGTCGCCAACAGATGCAATTGCTAGTTAGTTGTATTAAAATAAAAATAATTTTTTCTTTTGCCATTCATAAATAATTCCAAGTCATGTGACCACTAATTTATCATTGGTCGAAATTATGCATAAATTATAACAATTACAAAAAAATTAATTGTTAAATCTTTTAATTTTAAAAAATGGCAACAATTGAAGAAATTAGACAAGAATTAAACAATGCAAAAAAAGACCATGAGAAGGCGGAGAAGAAGCTGGAAGAATGGGAGGTGAAGTTGAATGAGTTGGAGAAGAAGCTGGACAACAAAGAATATAAGAACAAAGAACAGAAGGAGAGGTGGGAAGGACAAATAAAGAGATTGATCGAAGAAAAGGAGAGGTTGGCAAAGAATGTGCAAGACTGTAAGAAGCAGGTGGAGGAATGGGGAAAGGCATTAAGAGAATTTGGTGGAGGGGAAGGTAATGAACAAATTGTGTAAAAAAATATAAAAAAATTATTTTCCATTCATTCCATTTTGTTTATTTATTTACAAACTTTTGCTTGGTTTCTTGTTCATTCACTTTTCATTGTTGCTTTTGATTGACATTTTATTTGATTATATAGGAAAAAGAAAATTAGAGGATGAGGAAATTGGTGATCGAAAGAAAGGGAAACAAACATGTATATTATATATACTTCTTGTGGCATTGGCTAGTAATCTTGTTTTATTTTTTAAAACTTACTTTTTTCAAATATCTGACTTTTTGATATTAAAGATCCTGAAGAATCAGAAGAAGGTCGTGATAGTCTTGCTGTTATATCAGATGAAAGGTTGAAATGGATCACTAAACTTATAGAAAGTAACCAAATTACCCTT